TTTAAAGTCATTCCAAAAAATGCAAATACCCCGGTTGTAAAGGAGTTGGGTTTCTGCTGTGCCAGCAGGCTGCTGTGAGGCTCAATGGGGGCGTGTCCCGAGTCTTTTTCGATGATTCAAACCGTTCATATTGTAAGATTTGTTGAATAGATCATTCATGCAAAAAATCAAGTAAATTGGACATTTGTAACCTCATAATAAGAGCACATTTGTTTTTCAAAAAATAAACGGTTAACATGATTTTAATAATTTTTTTAAAAACAATTAGGTCTTGATCATGGGGTTACAGATGTCCAATTAATTTGATTTTTTATATGAATAATATGCTTGAAAAATCTTATAATATGAACAGTTCAGATCATCAAAATACAGTCAAAAAATGCCTCTACGGGACCTCACAGCAGGGCTGTTGTGCCATAAGGCACAACATCAACCATCAGTCCGTTGTAAAGGCACAACATCCTTAATTTTAGGGAAATTCTATTTTCATGCACTCTTTTATTTATGTGTATATAATTTCTCAATGCACACCCTTATGAAATTGGTTTTATATTTTTGTTCCCAGTCAATACTTCACATGATCCAATTATACCATAAACTAATGTCCTTTTACACACAACTTAAACCATTTGTTCCACAGAGAATCAATGGTATAGACCCATTTTTTATTTCACCCACCTTGAAAACACAACATCTTTCACAAGAAATCTCTCAGCAAATCGCTTCATGAATCTTCAAATTATACAACAAACTACCTCCTTTGATTTTCAGTTACATCATCAAACTGATTTCTTCAATCAACAATCTAGTCAACATCGAAAAAGTCATTAATTGGCATCGACGCGTATCAACATAGATCTTGAAACAACATCGTTTTGTAGCAAACTCCATTAAAGACGTACAACTCCATCTATCTTTTATTTTTCATAAACTCTTATTTTTTTTAGAAGCAATTCAATTTTGCTTATTCGATACTGATTATCCATATAAAAAAGGCTTATTCGATTTTTAACTTTCGAAACATGTAAAAATTCGGAACTTGGTTTCTGAAATAAATTCTTAAATTCGAAAGTTGAGCTTCGAATTTGGTTTATATCCAAATTCGGAATTTGTTTTTCGAATAGAATTAATAATTTCAGCAATTGATATTCGAAAAAAGTAACATGTTTCGACATTGGTTTATTGAATTAAAATCGTGAAAAAAAAGTGAAAAAAAAATTAGCGCAAAAAAACTTGCATTTTCATAACTACTTTTGTTGTAACCATGCATATTGTTATTTGAATTTGAATTTCCATTGATTTGCAACTTTTCCATCACAAAAATCAAGAATTATGGCGGGTTCTAATGACAAAACAATATAATCAATGGAGTATAAACTTAGAAAGTAAAGCAATACGAGAGCAATGCTTTGTAAGCAATAGATGACTATAGAGTATGTAGCAAACAATGATCAATAGAATAAGTGAACAACAATGGAGGAAGTGAGAAACAATGGAGAAATTAAGGTTAAGTTTTTTTTTACTTAAAAGATATGCACGCAGATTTTTATTTTTTATTTTTAAATGATATGTACAAAAAAAAAAAAACTTTGATTTAATGTTAATGGTGTATTTTGATATCCATTATGATCATTTTACTTGAGGATAAAATTATCATTAAGATAATATTTCATTAAATGTGAACATAGAGATAAGTAATAGGTGAAAACAGAATTTTTTCCAATTTTAAACTTAGAAGCATGTGACATGACAGGAATACTATATTTTTTAAAGTTTGCTTTTGCAATAAATATAGTTGCCCTTGTTGTATTATATGACTGGGGCACTTGGCCTTTCTCTATTCACTGAACCTCCAGCTATGAGTCGAGAAGTTGGACAACGCAAGCTTGGCATTTGCTAGAAATTGTGAAAGGACAAAATTACCCTTTGAATTATGCCTGGACTGTGAAGGGCAATTTTATCCTTTCACGTTTTATTTCTTTACCCCGCCTAATATTTAAGCACGATGGTTTTCATAGCATCTCAAATTCTCCTTTTGACAGCAACATATCCATAATTTTATTTACTTAATTATGATCATAGTCATATCATAAAATTTCAATTTTACTTCCATCTCCTACTTCTCAAATCCTAACTATAATATTTCCCCAACCCACCCATCACCCACCACCACTACTTTTGACTACTACCCCTAGCTTTGGCCACTCTTCATCGCCATACCCAATTTTGGCTTCAATTCCCCAACCCTCCCCTGCCCTCTATAATCTTCCATGCTCTCTGGTAAACATGTCTAACCTCTCATTTGTCCCCCACCCATCTAGCCCCCTAAAATTTATTTTCTTCATCTTCGTGATCTCTCTATGTCTCTATTGAGATTTTGGGTGATTTTATTGTTGGAGATAATTTCGAAAATAATTAATATAAGCAAATAAAATAAACAACAAAATTAAACTTTACAATACTTATACAGATTATTTATGAATAAGTTTGTGATTAAAACCAGTATTTGAACACTGTATCTTTAAGATAGAATTTTGTTATCTCTAATAGTACTCGAGAATAATAGACATCATGTCTCCCAGATACAATAATCACCACAAACGAAGAGAGCACACTATTTCATTGTACAATGAACCAAAATTATGTTTTGTACTTACAAAACTTAGATACACGAATGAAGATTGAATGTATGAAAGCTTTGGAAGGAATTTTTGGAATGAAGAAAATTGGAATGGCGATTGCCTTTATATAGGCATGGAAGCACTTGTTTGGTGTGAACAGGAAAAATTATGAAGAAGGGACATGATCGGAGGGAAGGTACCTGTTCGCCGAAAATGTACTTGTTCGGATAAGACAACCGGAATTCAAGATTGAATTTCAAAAAATTTTGGAGCAAAACTTTTGAATCTGAAATTCAAAATTAGTGCAAAAAAATTGAATTTAAATTTAAAAATTTTTGACTAAAAAAGATAAGTAATGGGCCGAGCCGACCCTACCTCACACTTGGCCTGGGGTGGCGGCAATGAGCGTGTGTTGTTTTTGGGTCCAACCAATTTGGTCCATAACTCTATTCCTTACAAAACTTGTGATGCCCGCCCAAACCCAAAAGTCTAACCTAAAGATTACAACATTTCAACCTTCTTCTATGTTTCCAATGTGAGATAAGATAATTGCATTTTATTCAAACATTTGACATTAATTTTCATTCACACGAAAGTTGATTTTTGCCAACTAAATATATATTTTTGTTCACCACATGGCGACGATTATGTTTCCACTCAGACCCATCCAAATGGCTGTATGGGTCCCACTTAATTATTGACATAAAATTTTCAAAAAATAATAGTCGATAACCCATTTTTTCCACAAGGTTTGTGGTTGCGAGGAAGAGTTGTGGGAGGGTGGCACGCAACTAAGATATTGAAGGAGGGTGGTGGTGTCAATGGGATAGAAGGAAGGAAAATTCAAAACTTCTATAATGTAGATTGTCTAAATTTATAATTTTATATTTGGAGAAATCTATTTTCATGAGTGCTGCTATTAGCACCCCATCAATTATTTTGGACCCCTCATTTCTTTGGACTCCCACTTATAAATTGTAAAACCCTTAAAAAAAAAATTTCTTCCTCCAAATAATGCCAAAATTATTCTTATAAAAACATTCCACTCACTTTTTAATGCACACCCCTATAATCCAAAAAGTCCATCTCTCAAAACTCTAACAAAACCTACGACGACAGAACCTCTCAAAACCAGTGAAAAAAATTTGTGGTGATTAAGAAATTTTTTCTTTATTACATTACGAGATTTGTCGATCTGTTTGATTTTTTTTTTCTATTACATTTTTTTCATACAAATAACACAATCCACTTTCATGTTTCTCTGGCTGATTTTTTTGTCATTGATCCATGGCTTCACTATACTTGTATGCTCTCAGTGTGAGCAAAAGTGGGTAGGATTTCACCCACCGATTGACTCCCTAGTTAACCGGCCGGTCGACCACTCAAGGGTGGTCCGACTTCCTTTGTTTACCTACTTCTGTTGCTGCTTCGGTTATTTATTCTCGAGCAAATAAGAAATGTTCAGTTACTAATTCCCAAACAAATAAATAACGTTCGGGCCTGTATTCATGAATTTCGATCATATTTTTAGGAATTCAGTCTTCAAAAAATGAGGAACAATTTTTATCATTTTTTTAAAAAAACTTACTTTTATAAGACCAATCTCATCTGAGCTAAAAATACTATCAAAGTTATAAATCTCTTATGAGCTTTTACTGTTGTACTTCTCTCGTCTCATGAAATTGTGGTTGTTGAAAAAACTTTCACTCATTATCATTGCTGGAGAACTATATGTAATCAAATGGTTTGTTACCATTGCCGCCGAAATATTGTTGCTGAAAAACTTTTAAGGTTTTGAAGGTGGGTAGGTTTTGAAGGTAGGATTTGAAAAAGATGAATGGGTGGTGATGGGGGTTGGTACTCTTATAAATCATAACTCATGATATGGTGAGTATGTGAGTTTAATTATGAAATGAGGTATCATAAAATTATTGCTGTCGTTTTAATAATTTTATTTAAAATTTTATTATAATAACAAAATTTAAAAATAAGAAGTAGAAAATAATTGGTAGGGTGATAAATGTGCTATTTAGGCCAAGTTTGGGAAGTCCCAAATAATTCATCTTTTTATCTTTTTTCCATCACACCACCTCTATACTTTTCTGCATATCTTTTCGTAAAAAGACAAAAAGTGCACTTATTTAGGTCATCCCAAACAACCCCTTAATATAACTTATTATAGGTAAAAAGTTGATAATCAGAAAATAGAAATAAAAAAAATATTTCTTCCGCAATTTTTAAATAATCAATTTTTTTCAACTTATTTAAATTATTCCTACCTAAAAAATTAAAAACAAAAACTACACCAAACTATCTAACATATATTCCCAAATTAAAATAAACTATCTCTGTAATTCAAACCAAACACTCCGAAGTCGACGGAACTGTCCAACAGCATTTTCGAGCGTCATCATTGGTGGCCTCGTTTGACTTCACCCTCCATTCCTTCTATCAACGACCTATTTTTTTACATTTTTCACTGAGTGCATAGAGATGTATAAAAGTCTATTCTGATTCTCTGATTAATCACAACTCCAATCTGGGGGGAGTGAGACCTAGGAGTGTGGTGGATTCTTTGAAACACCACCCCCACCGCTCATACCTCTCTCATCTTTCTCTCTCTACAGAGCTATGGTTTCTCACGTCCAAAACGGTGACAGCTCACTCGATACCGGCCATACCCGTCTACACGAGCTCGGCTACAAACAAGAACTCAAGCGTGATCTCTCGTAAAAACCCAACAAACCCAATAATTTTTTTTTCCCTCCAATTTTTGGGTCAATTAGTTATGATTAATGTTTTTGTGTTCTGGGTATTGTTTGGAATTTTCAGGGTAGTCTCAAATTTTGCATTTTCATTCTCAATCATATCGGTGCTTACGGGTATAACTACTCTGTACAATACTGGGCTTAATTATGGTGGACCAGTTGTATTGGTTTATGGGTGGCTTATTGCTGGTGTTTTCACTATGATTGTTGGTTTGTCTATGGCTGAGATTTGTTCTTCTTATCCTACTTCTGGGGGACTGTATTATTGGAGTGCCAAGCTTGCTGGCCCTAGTTGGGCACCCTTTGCCTCATGGCTCACTGGCTGGTAATCATATTTTTATTTTTTTATAGATGTTCTATGAATGATTCAATTGTTGACTTTGATTGGATTTGATGCCAAACCTTGCAAATTTGCAATGCCCCCATTCACTTGTGTCATAAATCAATACCCTCTTACATTTACATGTTTTAGTGATAACAACATTCAACTTGTAAACCTCAAGGGGTTGGCCTAGTGGCTTGAGGTCTGGGCTTAGGGGACTGCTCTCTCTATGTGTCTCTGGTTCGATTTCTCCGACCAACATAAAACCCTTGAGGCCACAAACTATAGGAAAACCTGTTTTGAAAGGCTTGTTCGGATTGTAAGGATTTAGTCTGCGGCATGAAAGCTAGCCTAGGATACCCTATGTAACAAAACAAAACAAAAAAAACACATTCAACTTGTAGTCTCTTTTTGTATCCATCTTAATTTGTTTTAGGAGTTGTGTGCAGTATTTTGGGGCTGTTTGGTGCAGTTTTTGGTACTTCATATAGCTTTCTTTTGCTTCTTTTTTTTTTTTTTGTTGGTCCTTTTGATTTTAGAAATATATAATAGATTGTTTGGTGCATTTTCTACTTACAATTTATGTGACAAAAGTAGCTTAAAAAAGCTGAAAAAATTAATTATTTGGATGCAATGGGTGAGTTATTCTACTTTTTAACTTTCAGCTTGTTATAAGTTGAACCAAATTGCCCATTGACTGCCGGTGACACCATGTAGCACGGGTCATGTTATTAGGATCGGTAGACAACTGCCTCAAATGTTTTTGTTGTGCCTCATGAATCTGAGCTTGACATTGGTCAAGCTTTGATTGGTTTGTAATTGAGCTTGATACAGAGTTTTAAGCTTTGGTCCATTTAATTGGCAGACAAGCGTGACTGAGCTTCTTACCTTGCAAAGCTTGAATTGCTCATCAGCTGCTAGGTTTCTATCTAGGCCTTGAATTTCTTACATCCAGTGATAATACTCCGTAAATTTTGTGCTTTCAAGACCAATGTCACCAAAACTCAAATCATATTCTAGTGATTGGAACGTGAGATCCAACACGCGGGACACTGCACTCTAGAAAACTGTGTTTATGAATTAAGACTAATTCCTCTTATTTACTCCATTATCGATATTATTGAGATTTGATGAATTATACTTTAATCATGACTATAGAAGAAAAAAGAGCCTCAGAGCCATGGCACATGAAGAGCCCAAAAATTGATAAATTCAGAGGTTTACATGAGTATGTATCAACCTCTTTACATGAAAGTTCTTATTATCAGTTCTCTGCAATTGGTTGAAATTTCAATCTAATCTTCGATTTGAATTTAGTTTATGATGTTCAAATAAGTGCTAGAATAACCGTTCCTCCTTTCATTTGCTCTAAAGCATATGGGCCCTGTTTGATTAGAAGGTTTAATGGTGAGGGGATTAACAATCTATGAGATTAGTGTAAGATTGGTTATCTAACTAAATTAATGGGATACATAACCCCCTTTTGTCCATATTTATTTTTCAATGGAAATGGACATATATAATCTCAATTATATGTTTTTTTTTTCCTGCATTATTGGTCGTAGGATTAAAAAATCTGCCAATTTCGTTGGATTAAAATGTCCGTCAGATTCTAATCTGGATAACAAAAATTGCGACAAAACACTAGAATGTAAGTCCCACAGATTAATAATCCCAATTCTACAAATAAAATAGGCCTATGGTGTGTAGTGATAATGTGCCCCTATAGATGAACTAAAATGGGATTGGGTGGAGGGTAACCTGTTAGGAATTCATAATACCTAACCAGGTTCAACACAAACACAGAAATGAACAAACACCTCATGTGCTTCCTAAAACCTTGTTTCAGATTCTGCTGATAACCAATTTCATGCAGCCGGAAAAAAAAAAAAATAATAAAATAAAAAATAAAAAACAGAGCAGTAAATTGCCCAACTATGTCAATGTTGTATATTACCATTTTTTTTTTTTTTATGTATTAATTGGGGTATGAGTGGTTTCTTACTTAACGTAAGTGACTCAATCCACAAATCTTGGGCTACTAATTGCAGAAAATGAAAATGTATTTGTAAAATCATAAAATTTACATTGTTCTGAGCTAGCTTGTGCTGTATTGAACTTTAAATTGTAATGTAAATATAGCCTATTGATCTTCTTGTAATGCATCCTCTGATTCTCAGTAAAGTTATATATTTCTTTGCAGGTTCAATATTGTTGGTCAGGTATTTCTGGGAATTTTCCTATTGTGAAGATTGAAAACCTTCAATCTACTCGGACAAGCTTCTTCTTTTCCATTTGCATCTACTATTAACCCTAATCTCTAAATTTACTTTTTACACAGTGGGCTGTTACAACAAGTGTAGATTTCTCACTTGCACAGCTGATTCAAGTGATTATTCTCCTTAGCACAGGTGGGAAAAATGGTGGCGGATACCAGGCTTCTAAATATGTAGTTATTGGCATACATGGTGGAATTTTGCTCCTACATGCTATCATCAACAGCCTTCCTATTACGTGGTTGTCCTTATTTGGACAGTTTGCTGCTCTCTGGAATCTTATAGGTATGAAGTGTACCCAAGTCCTTTCTCATTGTTCTGTTTTGTGCTATATCGCACAACCTTCTTCGTGGACCTTCAATGGATATTTGTATTTTTAGGTGTCTTTGTTCTTATGATTCTCATTCCCACGGTTGCCAAGGAAAAGGCCAGTGCCAAGTTTGTTTTCACTTTCTTCAACACAGACAATGGTGATGGAATCAACAGTAAAGTCTATATATTTGTCCTCGGACTCCTGATGAGCCAGTATACCCTTACTGGATATGATGCATCTGCCCATATGGTAAGTTCTATTCTATTGTTTATTGTCATGTTAAATGCTGTTGCAGCCTCGGGTAGTCATAACATCATCTCAATCTCAGACTTGTGTGACAAATTTCTATATCTTTATGAGATTTTTTTTCCCCTATTATTCTAATAATTGGTGAAATGAAAGAACTTTGTTGGAGTGCAAGGTTACTGGAATTGTGATGCTACATTAGTTTATCCATAGATATATGGCTGTTTCAGTACCAAAATCCAATAGATAGGATGCATTTTTCTTTGAACGTTGAAATCTTGGAATAATATAAGGGACATTCCATTTCACAAGGGTGAAGTGACATAGTGTTGAGTGGGTTCAATTGACGAAGAAAAAACATAAAATTGAAATGTAGTATTATGCAAATTTTAGAGGTGATTCCTTAGGTTAACCCCCTCAAATTGTTTTGAAGAAAATTCCAGTTGGCTAGCCCATATGGTCACCACTATACAGTCTTTAGCCTATATTGGGTGAGATCGAGCCTGAGGTTTGCTTAAAGTATAAATTGTTCCCTGTGATTTGGAAAATTACAAATATCCCATTGTCAGAATTTTTTATTTAACAGAATTAACTAAAAAAACGAAATTCATAATTGCTCTCTTATACAATAATAAAATTACCTAAATTATTAATTGAAACATATTTCTAACATCATTAAAAACTGTTAATTGACTTGATGATTTATTAATAAAAGGGGTGATTTGTTATGAAATTAGAGACCTCTGGGAGTGAAATGTAATTTCTAGAACTACAGGGGGGATTTGTATTTTAAGCAAACCTTAGAGGGCGTATTTGTAATTTATCCAAAAAGAATGTTGATTATTTGATAAAAAAGAGTTGTAATATAGTTGTAATGAGTGAATTTGTTGAATTGTATGAATTTATCCTGAAATTGGATTATTAATTGAAGCATTGGTATCAATGTTCTTATCTTTTTTCTTACATGTAGTTGATAACTCTGCATTAATTTTCTCAATTTTATTGAAAATACTAGATGATACTACAATGGTGTCAAAGTTGATTTTGATAGGTACTTCGAAACTAAAAATTTGATATTGACGATTGTTTGTTGAATGAATCCAGACCAAAATTTGTGGTTAATATAATATTTATGCTGGTTATATCACTTTATTTTTACCGTCTTTTATTTCTGCTGTTTGATTCATATTAATCAACAACTAAACCAAGCTTTCTACATTTTTTTTTCCTCTAAATTTTTGCTTCCAGACAGAGGAAACCAAAAGTGCAGATAAGAATGGACCAAAGGGAATAATTAGTGCCATTGGGATATCTGTAATTGTTGGATGGGGTTACCTACTAGGTGTCACCTTTGCCGTCACTAAAATCCCAAACCTTTTGAGCGAGAACAATGATGCCGGTGGATATGCCATTGCTGAAGTGTTTTACTTAGCATTCAAAAATAGATATGGCAATGGTATCGGGGGGATTATTTGCTTGGGAGTGGTTGCTGTTGCTATATTTTTCTGTGGTATGAGCTCAATTACGAGTAATTCAAGGTAACAGCAAGCTTGTTCATGATTTTTTGTCATAAGACGAGAATGCCCTTGTGGACTGACTTGATAAGATATGCTATATATTCATTCTCAGGATGGCTTACGCGTTCTCAAGAGATGGTGCCATGCCATTGTCATCGGTTTGGCATAAAGTAAACAAGCATGAGGTCCCCTTGAATGCTGTCTGGCTCTCTGCTATAATTGCATTTTGCATGGCTTTGACGGTATGGAATTCAATTTTCTTTTAATGCAAATGGAAGGAATCTGTTCTCTTTTCAGTTTATTTATTGATTTTTTCCATTTATGGGTTTTTAGTATGGAGAGATTTGAGAAATGGCACCCTTCTCTTCCTTTTTGTGTATTATTAATATTAGTAAGTATGCATTTTGCGTCGTTTCGGTCCTCCAAGTTTCAATTTTGTCAATTTCGTCATTAAAGTATCTATGGTCCCCAAAGTATGAGTTTTGTGACACTTTGGTCCACAAAGGTTTTAAATTGTTACCTTAGTCCCTAATCACAGATAAGAGTTTGAACAAAATTAAAACTTTAGGGAACAAAATTAAAACTTTAGGGATCAAAACGACGCAAAACACATACTTTAGCCTCCGTTTGGGAAGTGGGTTGACTTTTTGGCTTTTTGGTTTTTTTGACTATTTTAGCCTGGGCTAAAAAGCTTGGTTTGGGAAGGGCTTTTTGGCTTTTTTGACTTTTTTTGTGAGAGAAGAATGTAATGATTATGGGTTGGATGCGATGTTTTGTTTTTTGTGGCTAAAATAGCCTATTTTGTCTTTTGTGGCTAAAATAGCCAAAAAAACCCCAAACTCTTCTTGCCAAACGAACCCTGACTTGGATGACTTAAGTGGCTCAAAATGCATATTTTAGGAACCATATGAGTATTTTATCCTCAATATTATTACTAATATATTAAGGGTTTTTCTTAATGGGTAAGATGTTCTTTTATTTTATTTGTAATCTCTCTCTCTCTCTCTCTCTCTCTCTCTCTCTCTCTCTCTTCAATAAAATGTTGCACATGGGCCTTTGTCTTTCCCAAAGGAAGATAATGCCATGACTGATAAATACAGCAGGAACTTGGTTAAGTTCACGGAAAATGTTCTGATTCTTCCAAAAGCTAACTTCAGTTTTGTTTTCTTATTTCTAATGCTAATATTGTACTCTTTTTCAATGAAAATTTTGCAGTCTCTTGGAAGCATAGTGGCATTTCAAGCCATGGTATCAATAGCGACAATTGGACTCTACATTGCTTATGCTCTTCCCATATTCTTCAGGGTGACTCTGGCTCGCAAGTCCTTCACTCCTGGCCCTTTCAACCTAGGCCGCTATGGGGTTCTAGTTGGTTGGATTGCAGTTCTTTGGGTTGCAACCATATCAGTGCTCTTCTCTTTACCTGTGTCATACCCAATTACCGATCAGACTCTTAATTATACACCAGTTGCAGTTGGTGGCCTTCTCATTCTCACCGTTGCTTCTTGGATCTTTAGTGCTCGACACTGGTTTAAAGGCCCCATCACCAACATAGACGATGTTTTGTGAATAGAACAATATTTGTTTCCTAGATGCAAAAATAACAATAGTTTGTTTTGTCTCTTCGAGTTTTATGTTATTTTCTAGTTTATAATACAATGCTCCTGATAATTTTTGTGTTTAGTGAATTGGAAAGTAACGGATTCAATGACACGTTTTCAAGCCCTTTCTTAACATAAGAAGACTAAACAACAAATTCAAAACACATATAACTCAGACTACCATACAAGGCATGATAAAAATTACTCTTGTTCCCTTCAAGTAGTAGAAAACATAGGCCCGGTTTGTTTTGGGGTTAAATAGATGGGAGGGGATTAGGAAGGAGGTGGGGTTATTTAGTATTGTGTTTGTTTGTAGAGTTGGGGAGGGGATTAGGATGGAAGAGATGACATAGATGGAGGTTGGAAGGGGGATTGAGATGGAGGAGGTGGAGATGGTATTAGAAAAATAGTAAGGGGATTAGAATTTTTTTTTATTTTTTATATATTGGGAGTTTTTTTTTTTAAATATTAATGTTTAATTTTTTATATTTTTTATTTGTTTTATTATTTTAGATAAAAATAATTTAGTAATTCCTACACTAACAACTATCATCAAAATAAATACAATTTTACTTAATCCCCTCACTATCAATCCCCTCACTATTAATCCCTTCACTATGAATCCCATCCATTCTACCTCTGAAAACAAATGGGGCCATAGATCCTTACTACTCTAAAGGAAGTTTATTACGACCTTTCAAATATAGGATACTTTTGCTTCATTTTTGGCAGCCATAGGATCCAATACGATTGTCGGTGAAGTTTTACAGTACATAATTATTGGAATGTAATTAAAATAACTCGAGTTGTTTGTGTAAGATTATAGGATGTCTTTACTAGAAATCAAAACACTATGAATATAATTAAGGAAAATGATTTTCGGCTCGAATTGTGTCCCCCTAAACAGCCCGAAAACGATACACGCCCTGTCTCTATCTTTTCTTTATTTCCAAAAAAAATCATTTTCCATCTCATCTCATTCCCAACACTCTCTCTCCTCTCTCAACTCTTCAAATCCTCCATAGCCGCGATTCAACTGTTTGCAAACCCATATCATTTGGATCGCGATTCAACTCGTCTATGAAACCCATCTCTCATTCGGAGCTGCGATTCAAGAATTCAAAACTTTCTCGCTCTCTCGCTCTCTCACTGCGATTAAACTCAGGTCAGTGCTCCCTCTCTCATCCCTCTTGTCTCTGTGTTGGGTAAAAAAACCAACTCAGGTCACTGATCCCTCTCTTATCCCTCTCGTCTCTGTGTTGGGTAGACAAATCGGAGTTGACTCCTCTCATAGAAACCCGACATCGCAAAACTAGGGTTTTGCTGTGGCTTAAATTTCTGTATTGTGCCTTCAATTGCTGTTAGAGTTATGATTTTCCCATCATTTTGTGTCATGGTTTGTGCTTTGCCTACGATAGAATCCCAATTTTAGGATTGTTATTTATTTATTTTTTTTGAAGTTAGGATTGTATAACTGTAGTGTAAGAAATTTTTTTTGGGGACTATGAATTTAGGATTGTTATTTTTTTTTTGAAGTTAGGATTGTATAGTGTATGAATTTTTTTTTGGGGATTATGAATTTAGGATTGTTATTATTATTATTATTTTGAAGTTAGGATTGTTTAATTGTAGTGTTTGAATTTTTTTTTGGGAATTATGAATTTAGGATTGTTATATATATATATATATATATATTTTTTTTGAAGTTAGGATTGTATAACTGTAGTGTATGACTTTTTTTTTTTTGGGATTATGAATTTAGGATTGTTATTTGCATTTGAGAGTTGGATTTTGAATTTAGGATTGTGAATGTTAGCGTTTATGAATCTGCATTGTTGTTATTTTTGGGATTGTGAATGTTAGTGCCTTAAATTGCTGTTATTTTGATTTGATGTTGGGATTTTTTTTTTGTTTTGTTTTGGATTATGAATTTAGGATTGAATTTAGAATTTAGGATTGTTATTTCCATTTGATTTGGGGCTTGTAAATTTAGGATTCTATGAATATAGGATTTGTTTGGTTTTATTTGTTCCATATCTGTTTCATTTCATTTGTTTTGTTATATGAATATATGATTTTATAGTTGGATGATATGAATCTGAATTCTATGAATATAGGAAATGGAAATGTTTTATTTTTTAACTTCAATCTACATTGTTGGAAATTTTGTTTGGCGCTTATACAAATTTAGGATTGTTATTTAGATTTAAGAGTTGAATGTTAGTGTTTATTGTACTTTCAATCTGCATTGTTGGAAATTTTGTTTGGGGCTTCAATAAATTTAGGACTGTTATTTAGATGTAAGAGTTGAATGGTAGTGTTTATTGTACTTCAAAACAATTTGAACCCAAATTCATACATTGAAGACCATATTTATGAACTGTTGTAAAATAGAAAATGTTTATCATCTTAGGTGATCTTTTTTTATTTATTTAAGGCTTAGGTATTGGTTATGTATTGGTTATACAGAAAATGTTTGCACTGAAGATCAACCTTTTTTTCATCTTAGGAAATTGAAATGGCTTACGTATTGGTTATGCAGATAAAGAAATGGCTTATTCTTCTACTAACAATAACAACATTAGATTAAAACCAAGAATGTGTGATTGTGGGAGAACAGCTGCCATGTATATCGTACGAACCAATGAGAATGGAAATCAAAAGCGTTTGTTTTTTGTGTGCCCATCAAAATATGTAAGTACCAAGCTTTATTCTATGTCAGTATGTAATTAATCCTTTGCTATTTGGAAATTGGTTTGCTTGCTGTGACTAACTGATTTTCATGAATTGTAGAGTAATAAGAATAAGGCACACTGCAATTACTTCAAGTTTGCAGATGATGATGATGTGGACGTTACCTTCCCAATCTGTCCTAATACCGGACCTCGTCAAGCATTAACAACAGAAGAATTATATGAGCTAAGGGCAATAGTTTCTGAGATGGAAAATCAAATTCATAGAAGGCTTCAAAGGATGGAGAACAAAATGAAGGCGATGATTTATGTCATTGAGTTTTGTATGATTTTGTACTTGATGAAGTAAATTACTGACTTTGTTAGTTTTGGATAGTTTTGGGGTAATCGCATGGCTTGTGGGGCTATGTTGTAATGAATTGCATGATGGTATATTTTGGTAGGTGGAAATGAATATGTTGTTGATGTGAATGTGTGTATAATATGATCTTCTTAGCTCATTTTCTTTTGAAATATGTTATTTCATTACTAAATCACAACTGTTATCTTCACCAATCCATTGAAAGTATAGCGATCCCGGTTTTCTCCTTTACTGTTCAGTTGTATTCCGGACTCGGTTCCATAGAGTTGGCAGTTGTATCTATCTTGTTGTCGTCCTTTAAATCAATTTGTTTGAGTTTTAGGACGTGTTGGGCTTGGTTGTTATAGGTTGGTAGAGCTTTGGCTCCCATTGCTGTTGCTCGAGCAGGTCATTTTACGCTCGAGCGGGGTTTACACCCTTCCAGCATTTCGAGTCCCTGCAAAACTTCTGCAGGTGTGTTTTCTACGCTAGAGCGGGTTTATTGCGCTCGAGTGGGCTTGTTGGCGCTCGAGCGGTTAGTACCTCGTTGGTGAAAGTTCTGGGAGATGAAAATCTACGCTCGAGCGGACTGGTCTTTCACGCTCGAGCGGGTGTCCTTTGTCTTTGTGTCTTGGCGCTCGAGCGGGCATTCTTGCGCTCGAGCGTACCCAGTTTTCTGTTCTTGACGCTCGAGCGTCTTGTTATCCGCTCGAGCGGGAATGTCGTATATCAGTTGGCAGCTGGGCGTTTTAAAATCACTTTTTGCATTCTCTCTCTCTCTCTTACTTTCTAAAAACATTTTTGAGAGCTTCTCTCTCTAGGATCTCCCTTCTCTCTAGGGTTTGATCTAGTTAGAGTGTTTCCCTATCCTCCGGCCTTTGTAAAAAGTGTGTTGATCGTCGAGGGCTCTATTTTGATCAGTGGATCTTTGAGTTTGGAGTATTTTGGTTTTCTTCAACTTCCCCGTTTGAGCTCTAACTTCGAGGTAGGGATATCCTACTCCTCTTTATGAGCTTTGTCTTTAAATTTTAGCATTTTGATATGTTTGGGGTTGTTGGGTAATTTTAAGAAAGTTTGGGTCTTTGTGTAATTTTACAAAAGATGGGGTTTTATTTATAATTAAACCTATATGCATGTTTGGCATAGAGAAATGATATAGATGATGAACTATGGATAAAAGTGGAACCTTGGGGTTGTTATGTTAATTATGGGAAAATGCCCTAATTAATTGGATAAATTAATTTGTATAATTAATTTTGAGAAATGAAGAATTGAATTGAGAGTATTCAAATTGAAAAGATTATGGGATTAACGGGTGTAGTTGGATTCATTTAATCGACCACCCCGGTTGAATGTTGATAATATATCCATTTGGTGCATTTATTTCCTGTTTAGAAATAACTGCTTTGGGCTATCGGTGGATGATAGCCTTGATTGTTGTAGACAATGCATGATGATTAGGCAAACTAAAACTAATCGATTGAGTATGCTATCGAATATAGCGGCTGGAATAATACATCGACTTTATGTATTGATTGTTTATGTATATGATCTATGTTTATATACATTGTGTGCGTGGGAGGAGATAGGGGATGTACTCCACGGTTTAGGGGAAGATAGGGGATGGACCTCTAAGCCGAGTTGTGTGTGACATTGATACAACACTACAATGTGTATCAAGTGTTGGTTATGGAAGTGTTTAGATTGATTTGATATAGTACGAAAATGTATATCGTTTTCAATTGTGAAGTATAGAAGTGTTTCTATGTCATGTTGATACAACACCAAAATGTGTATCGTTCGTATAGTATGGGAGTGGTTTATGTGTTATTGATACAGCATTAAAATGTGTATCCATCATGAATTTCGAAAGTGTTTTTAAGATGAGTCTTATTCTCATTAAGTTATTTGACTAAGTGTTGAGCCTTGTTTTCAAACTCAAGGTTGAAAAAGAAATGAGAAATGAAGTGTAACATGGACTTAAATGTCATGAAACTAAAATGTGATATAAGTGAGTGTATCGGTGTTGACCATCTATCAATTGCTAATCTTTTAGTCATTGTTCATAGCTGGT